CCCAGTTGTCTTTCTTGCCTAGTGCAGGGGGGCTGGACCAATAACCTTGCAATGTCCCTTCTAGCCCCTTACAATCTAAGAATCTATGAAAAGGCAAAGCTGAGGGGAAACACATGACAGTATAAGCTACATTTGAGTAAGTGCACTCACACAGGTCTGTGTTCCAGGGAGTCAAATTGGCTGTAATTTGCAGGCCAAGGAGTTGAAAAATAAAGGAGTCAGACCCAACACATTTTCTTTGAAGCACAGACTTTAAAGTGAAAGTGGAACAAAAGGGCAAGTCATTCCTCTCCAGGGAAAAAGTTACATCTCAAAGTAAGGACTAACTAATAGTGGGGTAAATTGCTAGTTGTGCCCCTGCTCCTCTAACGGATTTCCTCTGAGGATAGCTCTTCGCTCAATGCAAAGTAGCTCCTCCGCCACCTCAGGGCCAGACACTAAGGGCATGAGCAGGAACTTGCGTTTCCCTGGGGACAAACAGCAGTGGCACCATGTGTGCCACTACTACGTGTCTCTGGTGAACACCTGTGGCATGCATGCTCTGATGCACAGCATGTTGCCTGGGTGGGGTAGCGGCAGCTGGGGCCATCAACTGTGCTGGCCTCAGGAGCCTTACTTGGAGGCCACATGCGCCACCCCACTTTTTTTAGGCATGTTTTTTTTTGACCCTGGGATCTCCTGGGTAAAAAACCCCAACAACGCCTCATACTGCAAATTAGCAGTGTGGGGAACGCCCATGTGGTGCTGCAGATGGGTCTGCGGTGCTGCATACCACACATCCGAGCTTGTCTGGATGCACTAAAGTGCCTTACAGTAAAAGGGGAGGCTGGGAAAATGGATCATTTATCCACTTTTCATAAAAAAAGTTCACCACAGAGTAGAAATCCAGAGAAAATTAATTGATATAGTAATAGTGCTATGTGGACACCTCATAAGCTAAAATCGGATGAGAGGGTTACTTTAGGAGTTTCCTGTTTTTAAACAATCCTACTAGTCAGTTACTTATATTGCTAACACAATTCTTTTAACTCACTGACATGCAAGTTCACAAGATAAGTCAGTGGCTGAAATGTAGTGGTCCAGACAGATACCAAAGCTGCTGACTGTGCCCTGGTATTTATACCTTGTTACAGAACAACACTCCCCTCTGAATCTCCTTTTACAAATAGAGATCTGTGTCCGGCCTTACAGTAGAGAAGAAAGTCATCAAAAGGCTATTTACAGTGTCTACAGCCTGGCTGAACAAATCAGAGATGTTAGCTTCCTTATTCATCCTGATCAGAGCATGGCTAATGGGGGAAAACATGCCATACCCCACAAGAATTCTCCATTTCTGCCATGGGAATTACCATTTTGTTGCAGCCAAGCCAACATAGCCAACATTTTGTTTTTCATCTCCCTGCCCTGCTAAGGCCGCTCTAGCTTGCCTCTTGGCTCAACCAGGTCCTCTCACAGTGGCACATTAATTAGATTGCAGTGCAGGCTTCCTATTCCAAGCAGCAGGGGGCAGGGACTGGACCTGGAGTCCAGTTCTGATCTACAGCCTGGGGAAGAGCCAGAAGTTTAGTTGCATTTGCTGGGCTGCTTGAAAAACATTACATCAACCAAGGCTTCAAGATGAGCTAATGAATGAAGCCATGGCCTTGCTCCCCCTTTTCCATGATAGATTTGGAGGGGAAAACCAGTTGAAATATGTGCTATCTGTACCCAAATATGAGAGCCAAGGCCTGGAAAGAGCATAGCTGGGCTACCTGCAACATATGGGGGATGGGAACTGGAATAAAGAGCATGTCATCCTAGAATAAGTCAATAGTTCTGCTGAATCTAAAGAGCTGTTGCCATGGAGTATGCAGGGTCCTGATTATATATTGATGCATGC